GGGGAAAAAACAATTTTTGATTAGTTAATTCAGAAATTGATAATCTTAATTTTTTTTGTAATTTTACTTTGGAAAGTAATAATTTTTTGAATATTTTATGAAAAAAACTTGAATATTTTGCAATTTAACTTTGGAAAATAATCTTTTTTTATTATTTCAATCAAAATTTGATTTTTTTTTAAATTTTCCTTAGGAAAATTTTCAAAATCTGATTATTTTTTTCAATCTTGCTTGGGAAAATGATAATTTTTTTTATTATTTTATTCAAAACTTGAATATTTTTCAGTCTTACATTGAAAAATAATCATTTTTTTTATTATTTGATTCATAATTTGACAATTTTTCAATTTTACTTGGGAAAATATTCATTTTTTGATTCAAAAAGTGATTATTTGATTAGTGAACAGCTCAGTTTTCTCAAAAATCGCCTCATGACTTTGCCCCTTGGAATTTGCAGTGTGATGCTATGTTGATGAGTAATTTTTCATGCGAGATACATAATTTCTCGTTAGAAATTTAACGATGAGCGGAGATTGTCTACCGAAAGTGTGCGTAGTGGATTAAATTAATGTGTAACTAGCATAATAAATGAGCGATATGCGGTGCTGGCAGAAGTGATGTCTTGTACGTTAGATTGGTTGTTGTGATACAAAAGCCAGTTACTCTGAAATTTACCATCTGTTTTATGAATTATGAACATCACAATTATAAACACGAAGGCGCAGTTCAATACATAGGATGAATGAGATGCTAAAGACGTCTCTCTCTTCTGCCAAAGAATTAATCTTATTAATATTAAAGTGAGACAGAGCGAGAGAGAGAGTATTTTATTGTGCAAGCCGGGAGGATAATTTCTTCAAATATATTTCTCCTCTTGGTCGCCAATAAATATGGACTTTGCTTGAAGAGTTTGTGTGGCTTGTAAATAAAATTAATGTGGCCTGAGATATTAGCCAAGATACATGAGTTTGTTTTCCCCTTTTTTATCGCAACTTCATATCACATTGGCAGCAAGACATTCTCTAACTTCCTCCTCTTCGTACCAACTCAATTTACCCTCAATCTGTCTAATTAATCTCTGCTGATTGCTCAAAGTCGGAGCATCAACTGTTAAACCGTGAAATTGTATCGCATTTGACATGAGAAATTTCATAAAGTCTCGCATGAGAAAAAAATCAGCAACAATAGCATAATTTCACACGATAAATTCTCTGGTCTCGAGAATAATTCTGTCTATTTTGAGAATTCACTTTGCATGCACAGGCGAAATCTTAATCATTCCTTCACTCGCGCTTCGGGAAGACAAAATCAAGGGGCAGATATTGTTGTCAAAATTGGTGAAAAGCTTCACGGAAGTGTCAGGAATTGGAGGTGATATAATATATAGAATATTAGCACTGCAAAAACCAATTTTGTTGCTTTTTTCTAATACAAATCAACTATATTTACCATATTTATTCATTTCCACACTTCAAAAGATTTAAATTAGGCTTGGAATGATTATTTCGTGTGGATTCTTAACCTCACAGATTGACCAGTATTTTTCTAAGGATTTTCCAAGGATAGTTCATTTTATACAATATCAAATCTATGCTTTTGCAAAGCTTAAACTTCTCGAGACGAAAAAAGCTGTATTAGATTTTCAGTCTTATCGACATTAAATGCGTGAAATTTCCTCTCTCAACACAACTTTAGGAGAAAATAGGACAGATATGCTAACAGCGAGAATCTAGTCAGAGGGAGAAGGTCGCCATGACAGTGGCATTCCCACCAAAATATCAGTGTTTTGTCAGTTGATATAGAGAATTTGACTTACAATATGGACTAATTAGTTCTTTTATCATCGATTTTACTTATTTTTCCCCTAAAATTGTGTTAAAACTTGGTTAAAATCCATTGTCGATGACTCTTTTACGCTAAGAAACAGTTGAAGAAGTGTAGTGTAGAGATTTCAGGCATATTACCTCCCCCTTGAGACGCATAAAAATTTAATGAACTACACTTTGAGACATGAAAACAGTCTGTTTTATATTTCAATCATAATCTCATGCGCGGTCTTCTTGAGCGCGTCAAAACAGCATGAAAATTCCAGAAGTCCTCATTTGTGTGTTCCAATTAATAACATTCAAATCTGCAAGTAATCAACTGTGGCAGGCAATTCGGCCGAGCATCTCGCCATGGCAAATGTTGCAGAAAAGGCCCACAAAATTTCTCTCTGGGTGCAAATTTATTAAAATGACCGTGTATTATGTCACTTGTTATTAGTGGAGAAGAGTGTGTGTTCCCGAGAGAGAGGGAAAAAGAACAAGTGTAGAATTTTATGACGCTACCAAATGGCCATAGGAAGATGATGAGATGAAATTCGCAGTCGTTTGCCAACTGCGCAAATAATCACGCGAACTGAAGCTCTCACACTGTATGCAAATGATGCAGAAGAGACCTTTTTTATGGCGACTCAGCCGAAGAAGAAAAAAAACACACAGACATGATCTCTTAACATCAGTTCTAAGAGAGCAAATCTAGCAAATGGAGCTTCTTTCCCAACCAATCTCCCAATCATTTTCCCTGACCGAGACGTGAACTCGGAAATTTCTCACGCAAATTCTGGCAGTTAATCGATTGCGGTGTTTGAAATATCTTTTCCTCTTCGCACTTTGCGATCAATCGAAAACATCTCAAGGGGTTAATTAGCCTAGGTTAACGACGAATTGGAATATGCAAAATTAGAAGGTGTTCTTATTTTGGATTTCATCACGAATCGTGCCTAGATTTCCAAATATAGCCAACTGCAGATATTTTGACTAATCCTCCCGGTGCTCTAATATTTACTATTTACGCTATTTTTATGCCTTGTTGGTTTAAAGAAAGTGGTTCACAAATTAAGACTGTTTGGCTTTGAGGATTTCCCACCTTTTTTCTGTGTTTGCATTTTGCAATTCTCTTCGCCCAAGGGGAAAATCACTCGCAATTTGTGATTCTTCAATTATTTCTTGATTTTTATTTCATACTGATTTATTGACTTTGGCAAAAAGGGAAAAAAAACGTCACAAATTTGCCACAAGATGGATTCGAACTTCTTTATGCCTTTCAAGCTTGATCAACTGATGTTGAAACTGGGCTTTTTCTACCCAAAAAGCTTTATTTTCGCATTCAAATTTCCTTCTCTCCTAACCAGGATCACGTCAGGAAGCCATGAAGTGTGAAAATGCGTGATAAAAGAGAGAAAATTATGCAAAAAATGCGATATTAGCGTCCCCCACGCCAACTTTGCTGCCCTCTGGTGGCGATATGTGGAGAAAATAATCGCATTTTGACATTTTAATCAAATTTCCAGGAAAAATGTTTAAATATAATTTGATTTATTTAAATATTTTGTCTAAAAAGATTCAAGTTTGGAAAATAATCACCTTTTTTTCCTTATTTTTAGACTTTCCCCTTGTCTTTGCCCCCTAAACATGAGTTTGGCGTCTTTCTCTGTGGCGCGCAAACTTGCGAAATGCGTCTGGTTGTCATTAGCGCTAATAGAAATTAGTGTGGCAAAGAGAAACACATTCTATGGTGTTGATGTTTCGGCTCACAGTGTGCGGTAAAAAAGGCGCAGAGCGAACGAGCAGCACCTCAAAGTGCGAAATCTCAGGTGAATTGAGGAAGTCGATAGAAGCGCTGTGACGCAATAGTTTGATTTTTTCGTAAGACGCGCTTCTATGCGCGCGATGTGGAATTTGGATCGCAGCCAGGTGTGTGTGTTGGGGAGGGGAAGACACTCGGTGGGTGGCTGATGGGAGCCGCGGACTGCAAAAAGGCGATATGGATCGCAATTGTGTGGCCAATGTGAAGTCATCGATGAAGTCATTCCGGGTGTGACTGCGAGGCAATTTAGTGCTTTAATTTATAACACGCCGTCCAAACAGTCAATTGATACTTTTCAGTCGAATTGTCGCCTCTGCAGCCGAGAATAGAATCGCGATATGGAATTGATGTTCAAAGGCTGCAATGATGGCGATTATGGCGCACATTAAAACGGGAACCGGGGCGGGAAAATGATGGGGATTAGAAAGTCCAGATGTGGCGATAGAGTCTGCCGGTGTGTTTGAATTATTCATGGGGATTCTCTCTGTGGATGATCTCTGGCGCAAAATGCACCACGAAGAAGTTGTTCTTTTGTTGCACGGCGCAGGAAGTGCCTGAAGACAGGTGCAATTTATAAAATTGTCAAATGAAATTAATTGGCTGAGGCGGTTAAATTTGAATTTCAAATTGCTTCTTGCCCAGACAATATCGGAACTTGATCTCTTTCACGGTGAACAAGTCGCGTTTTTTTTTCGCCTCTTTTTGCTACCGATCTGAGGATGGGCCGGAGTACAATTTGTTTATTCACCCACACACATGATCGCGTGCTTTGGTGCTAAAGACGCTTTTGTGTGAGGAAATAATCTGTGAAAACACTCGATTTTTTTGAAAAATCGACTCTCCTGACTATCCTTAGAAGTACAGGATAGAATATTATTAAAAGAGTTGTTGCAACTTTACAAATTTTGTATTTGAATTTGTAACAATTATGAATTTGAGTTGCAACTTTACGCTTTTATTAAATACGAATTTTATCTGTCAAAACGACCCTGACATGCTTGAAGGATTTTACAGGCCGGAAGAAGCAAAATATAGTTTTTTACGTACTTGCAAATGCTTTGGGAAATCAATTAGTTTCCTCTGAAAGGGTCAAATGATGTACAGAAACACATAACCTCAATCTGGTGCATTGAAATGCACTCAAATCGCCAAATAAATCCAACCAATCTCTGCTAATTAACCCGAAAACACAAATAGTATCAATTTCCTTGGTTTCCACGTGAATTTTCTGGTTTTTTCTTCAATTGAAAATAAGTTGTTAACTTTCTTAAAAATTACGAATCGCAATCTTGCAACGCAGTTTTACAAATTCATATTTTTTTTGACAGTTTATTTAAATCGTTATAACTCTGAAAATTGACTGAACTCACCTCTTTAGGGGGACGTTCTTAGTCGTTGTCAGCTTTCCCATCTTGATCTTCTTCGAGGATGCGTCGGAATCGAAGGAGTCCTCCTTGATCAGGCTGTGATCGCCGTTGATCTCGCGATGATCGGTGCTCTCGCTGGCCAACAGCTTGGACGTCTCGTCGATGATCTGCTGGTTGGCGCCATTGCGATTGAGATTGAGGCTCAAGTTGAGATTTCGCGGTGACGGAGACTTCTCCTCCACTGGCAACATGTAGGACAGCATTTTGGCGAATCGCAACTTTGTTACACGGAAAAAAATACACTTGTTTTCTCTAAGTTATGCACAGATTATTCTCGCAATCTTATCTCTCTCTCCTCAATGTTTCCATGCGCAAAAAAATTAATCTTCTGCTATAATTAAAAAAGATTTTATGTCGTTTCTTTTCCTTTTCTTTTTTAGCACTTTTGACACTCAATTTATCATATAGCAAAAATATCACTGCCTGATTATGCGGAGAATTTCACTTATTCACTTTTCATTTCGGGGTGGAAGAGAATGAAGAAAATGATAGAACCGAATAAAGAGACTCAGTCCGAAATATCACAAATCACACTTCTTGTTACAAAAATGATTGCCTTAACACCTATAGTTCTTCGCCAAATCTCTATTTGCCCATTCCTTTTCCTTTTTTTTTTGGTGGCAATGCGCGTGTTTTGGGTTCGTCTTCGTACAAAATATCACGGTTTTGGGGGGACAAAAGAAACGGTTTTAGCACTGTTTTTCTCCAATTTCTCTCTCACAATACAATTTTCTTCTGCTTTTTTTTCGTCAGTTTCGCGCGCAATTTTCCAGCGTCATGCAAAAAACAACTAGCACAGTGTATTATTTCATATAAAGTTAATAATTACAGCACAATTTTTATACTCTCATAATTATGTGAATACATTAATAATGACTATTGCCGCTGTGAATTGTCCCTCAATGTTGGATCATCATCATCATCATCTGGAAATAGAGAAGAGAAGAGGAAAAACATGAGATTTTGCTGTTGAAGCTGCGAAGATGCTCTTCAAAAATTGTGAAACAACCCATAGAAAATGTCTATTGAACTGAAGAACTCGGTAAATAAACGCTCTTTGTTTATTTGGATAATGACATATTTCACTGATTTCTCGCGCGCAGCTTCTTCGTCGATGACCTGTAAAACCGTTGCGCGAGCTTATTTCGTACTAACTCCTCTGACAGCTGTCAAAAGCACTTAAACTTGACAGCTGTCATTCTAGTTGCACAACCGGCTTTTCTCTCAGTGCATCGCGCAACTACTCAAATTGCTGCCTCTTCTCGCTTGTGCTTTATCGCTCGGGCCATCCGTGAAAATCTATTTATGTGATTTCAGATAAATAATCTTCTGCTCTGTGTTTATCTTCCGGCTTTGGCGTTATATATAATCCGCGGTGGATGCGCGATGTATGCAAAAATTTCAAGTGAAAGTCTATATTGTGAAGTGGCGGGAAAATGAATCGATTTTCCCTCCTCAAAAAGAAATTGCGTGTTTGGGCTGTTGAGGGTGGCTCAAAAGACGCGACTAACATGCGTTTGGAGAGTGTAGGTAGAGAGAAAATAGGGTGCAAGGCCACAATTTATTACATTTTCGTGCCATACAATTTACGATCCATGTTTTTTCGCCACTCCACCACTGATGTCGCGTCTTTCGCCCTCATTTTCTCCCTCAAGACATCGCAGGAATGTTATAATTAAATATCAAAAACTTCTGCCCCAAAAATTCTAGACTTCCCCTGTCGAGAGGGAGGGAAATGAATATTCAATTGGAGTCACTTGATTGCCTGTTCAATTTGCATTGTGGACTCATCCTTTTGGCTTGTCAATGTGATTTTGATGATAATTTTGGCGTCACTCAATTGACGATGGAGTTCAATTGAGAGAGAGATCGAATAGATAGATTCATTGATGATCTGCATTGGCAATTTTGTCATACAACATCATGTTTTTCCCCACTGACTCTCCGGGTTCAATTGAATAATGACCATAAACATTATATTATTCCACCAAAGACAATGTGGGAGTCATAAATAGGTCACGGGGTTAATTGTGGGCAATATTTTCACATCAAAGTATAGATTTTTCATACAAAAGTGGGAGGACGAGAAAAGTCAATCAAGGGAAGCTCGTGTGTCTCAACTCCGCGTACACCATTTCCTCTCACTTTCACAATTTCTCCGTATCGTAATCTGTTGTCTAGGATTTCTTTGCGTCTCAAGAAGGGTCCTAAGAGCGATTACAGACTTGTGGATTATTCTCAAATCGACGGAAACTGGGATCATTCTTCCGTGGATGAGCTTTGAGTGTGTAAAGGTTAGATCAGCGATAAGTCGTGGTTGATCTGCACCTTTAAACACTCAAATATGGATCACCCATAATTCGTGGCTAAACTGGCGCTGTACTCACTCAGAGGTTATTCTTCTTAGTCGACACTAGCGACAATTTTGCTTCGTGTGTTCAGCTGTCAATTGATTTGTTTATTTTGTGGAAAGCGTAATATTTCACCTTGTATTTCACGTTAAAATTGCGAAAATGGAAGATTTGCAGAAGAATTTAATGGTTTTGAGATCTCATTCGCAAGATATCCGCCATTTTGTGCGTTTTGAGCTGTCAAATAATTCGGCAAACTTCGGCTGATCGCGCTGTTGTCGGGAATCCCATAAATATCGGTTGAACGCTCGATATATCGAGGGATCAGTCGCGTTTTATGGGTCAACCAACTCTCGTGGATCACCAGCAAGTCTGTAATCGCTCTGAGTTTCCCAAACACTCTAATATCTCCCCCTTGAAGTTGACTGTGTGTAGTTTGGACAAATCGATGCTCCGCGTGTCGGTTGTTTAGCATTTTTTTCGGCCTCAAGGGCTGCCCGCTTGTGGGTGGCCTCTGGGGCGGAAATGTTACCATTTCGGGTCACGAATGTGGGTCATCCGAGTGCCGCGTCACACCTTCAAATAATCAGGTGATTAATGAGACCGTGGCTGGCTTTTTTCAAGGCGGGTTGCCTGAACTTTTCCACTCTGTGCTCGATTTGTTTTGCTCTCTCGCCACCCGGCCGGCAACACTTTGGCATACAAATTGCATTTAAAGCGCTTATAACACAATCAAGTTGTCAGGCGATGGCGGACAAGGGGAAAAAAGTTATGGTGATGAATCAACGACAATCAGAAATTCAGGGTGAAATTTGCATTCTGGAGCGCGCGCGCGCGCGGGCTCAGAAATTGGAACTTCGCACAGCCATCAATGTGGGTGGGGAGGATGCTAGAAATCTAACATGCTTAAAGTGATTGCACTCAGGAGAATCCAAAGGCAGAGAAATGCTGCATCTGAATTTTCCACGCCAAAACTCCTGATATCGCGCGATTTGGTCGAGTGCAAATGTCGCAAAATAGAGAAAAGAGAGAGAAACGTCTTGAGATGAAGTGTAAAAGGCACCTCCAGAGCGCGAAAATCGTGAATTGCACTCAAGTCACGACTTTCGTGAGTTTTCTTGGATTGTCACCAGAACAGAGTGAAGAAGTGAGAGAGAGAGAGAAAGAGGCTGAAAATAGCCACACTGATTGGAGAATAATTCGCAAATGATCTATTTATAATAGAGAAATTCCTTCAGTTAATGGAATTTCGCAATTAATTCGCGCACAAGACACGAAAGATGGTCAGCATCTTATGTTTTTTTTCTTCTTACGCATATTGTTCTGTATGATCCCGAATATTCAGTGTTTAGCTTTGCCCACACCGGAAATGTGGGGCTTTTTGTATATGTTTATGATGAATATTTTGAGCACGTGAAATCAATTAATAGATGGCTTGGAAGTGAGTCACTCTTTGGCGTTAATTAACTAATATTCCGTCGTGATTCGACATCTAAAGTATCGCCTTAATTTAATTGTAATAAAATTCACATGTTCACACTCTTGATCATTTAATATTGGCACCATTACGTGACCAATTGAATTTTGCCATTTTCTCCGGCACACGCTTTATTGAGAGTGTGTAAATTAAATTGTATGTTGAAATCAATTGTTGGAAAAATAGCGCAGAGAAGATTCACTCTCGAGAGAGAGAGAGCGAAAGATTAAAGAAAGACTGCAATATGTTTATGTCTTGTCATGAGGCAAAACAGCAGCATTTCCACTCAAGCGCCTCGAAGATTCCATCTTTGCCTTTTGATTCAAGGGGCAAATCAAAAGGCGATCTTTGAGGAAACTTAATGTTCTCTAATCAAATAATCAAATATTTGAGTAAAATATTCAAAAAATTATTATTTTCCCAAGTAAAATTACAAATAAGCAAATTCTGAATTAAATAATGAAAAATTATTATTTTCCCAAGTAAAATTACAAAATAATCAAATTCCGAATTAAGTAATTTTAAAAAATGTTTATTTTACAAAGTAAAATTACAAAATAATAAAATTCTGAATTAAATAATGAAAAATAATTATTTTCCCAAGTAAAATGATAAAAAAATTAAAATCCTGAATTAAATAATAAAAAAATATTATTTTCTCCAGTAAAATTACAAAATAATCAAATTTTGAATTAAAAAATTATTATTTTCCCAAGTAAAATTACAAAATAATCAAAATTTGAATAAATAAATATAAAAATTATTTTTTTCTAAGTAAAAATGATAAATATTAAAATTCTAAATATTCTAAATAGTAAAATTACGAAATAATCCAAGAAATAATCAATTTCTGAATTAAATAATGAATCAGAATATTCACAATTATTCAATTATATTAAAATTTTGATTGAATATTCAGAAAATAATCAAATAATAACCAGAATTTTGTATGAAATAATCAAAATTTGAATTTAAATGACAAATAATCAAAAAATAATCGGAATTTTGTATCAAATAATAAAAATTTGAGATTGACAATCACAAATAATAGAAAAAAAATGATCACAAGGTCTCAACTTGCGAGTGATTTACCCCTTGTTTTGAATTCAGAGTTGAATTAATTCCGATTTATTATGCTTCTGAAGTGTTTCGTCAAAGAGATGTTTTTGTGGGTCAATTTCCCAGTTGAATTCTCGAGTTGTGCGACATTTAATTATTGAGAAAAGCGCGCCAGTACGCATGCACCTGCGTGGGAAATTCAGGTGACACACACGTGAAAGGCATTTCACTGGACATCTCCGCATCTAATGGACTTTTAATGCTGGACTTTACGGAGATTTTTGTGGTGAATTTTTCCTCTTTTATTGCCTTGAAATTAAACGTTTCGATTATCTTCTGTAGAGAAGCCGGATTTGGGAATCACGAGAGAATGTTTATTTTTTTCCATCTCGTAAATTACAGAAAGTTCACGCGAGTCCAAAACAATTGCTGAAAATTACATATGATTTTCCGTTGGAGAATGACTAACATATTTTCGTGATGAAAATGTCTGGGATTGATTGAAAGAAAAAAAGAGACACAAACGCACACTCAGAATGCGAAGATGTAATGAGTAAATTGCGTTCTAGAACACAATCTTCGTTCTCTTTAAGAGAAGGAAGGAAGTGATTTCGCACGGAGTTTCTGCAATGAAGTGCGTAATTCTTGGTGCATAATTCCCATCTTATGTATGTATATTCTGATATGAATCTCAGCAGGAGTTTGTCTTAGCGAGAGGAACTTCTGTTAGGAATGTTTCAATTATAATGGCGCGATGGCGAAGGAAAGATTGTTTTTTTATTGTAATTAAAGTTTCTTGCCTTTCTTTTTTTAATACTCTCATTAAACTCTGTGTCTGCGAGACTCACCGTTAAATTCACGTGTGCTGAGAAGAGTTTTCGTCGTGAGTGTGAGAAGATGAGGAGAAAATAAGAAAATCGATTGATTTAACGCATTAATTTTAGCATTTTGCGTAAAGTGAACAGAGTTGAGACTCTTCTAGAGAGGAGATTAACAATAGATTGCATTGCAAAAGATTCTCTTTCAACAAATAGAGACT